CGGATTGTTACTCAGAAAGGTGTCCTTGACAACATATGTCAAGCTCATTGAAATCGGAGGGGGGTGACCTTTTCTGTACATTTACCGTATTCGTTAATTAAATTCTACATTTTTTCTTAGCGGAGGGAGCAGAGGGGGCTACGCCCCCTCCCTCTGCGGGGAGCGTAGCCCTCCCTGCCTACACGTGTTATACAAAAAACATATTAACTTAAGAAATCGACACAATGTTAGAAAATTAGTATTCAATTATGAAACTTCTTTTGTTTATAACTCGAAAACTAAAGCCGCCCGGCGGTAACATGTATAGAGAAAAGTTGTTCAGAATAACGTCCTTAACAACATATTTCAAGCTCATTGAAATCGGTGAGGAAATTCGCTTGCTAAATAATTACCAATTTCTTTATTAGAAAGAGAAGCCTTGATCGCCTTTGTTGCTCTAATTGCAAAATAGGTTTACGGCGTTTAGAACACTTTTATTTACAAATGGACTCATTTTTTTAATAAAAAGTAAATATATGTATTAAAGTAATTCAAATAAGATAATTGAGTATTTTTTACTATTACTAATTTTTAATTTTTGAAATAAAATGATATAATTTATTTATACAGCAGTTGTCATAAAATTTATTACTGTTAAAAAACAACAATATATATCCTGTGTGTAAACTTTGATTAAAAACCTTAAATTTATACAATTATAAAAGTATATTAATACAACGTAATCTCACATCGCACGAGTTGATGTCATATCCATTAAAAAATCGAAATACCTGCACGAGCTAATGCAATGATGGCGTGTGTAATCACTGCTTTAAGATGCGATGAGTTCTCCAAATAAAGATGGTAATAAACGGTTTTGTACACTGCTAAATACAAATTCACTCGTCGAGAACAATGAGAATAATGATTGCTCTCGATGCTGCCTGCACGATCTGGCATCTCTGGATCGAACTTATCAGCACCGAGCGCACACGGATGGCGGTTTTCGCTTGGATGCGTATCCCCACCACTTCTTGGTACTTTCGGTATCGGCCTATTTGATCTTGCAATTCTAGCTGCGTTCAGCAGAACTCAACGCTTATTAAGCGCTTTGCGTTTATTGTGATTGGCCTCTTTGTGTAGATATATTTGAAATATAAAATTATATGCCAATGACAAGCAAATATCGCAAAACACTTGATAAGCGCTAAGTTCTGTAGCCAATAGCGGCAGATTTTTTTTTGTGTCCGACGCGACGCAAAACGGACTTCTGTAAAAGACAGTTATTCGTTTTCGACGTTTTATGAGCTACAAAATAAAATTAATATATTTCAAGAGTTTTTAACAACTATACCACAGAAGTACAGACATCGGTATCTTGTTTTGTTACCATCATGTTGCTTCTATGTTGCCAAAAACGAATGACAAAGCAAAGAGTTTTCTATGAATAGAAGTCATTTTGTTGACAACGTAATGAGCAATAGTTGCTTTCCATTTGTTCTAAATCTGCTGACACGAAATGTCTCAAATTTGCCTTCGTGTTGTTGTTTACGTATGACTATACATTACGTTTTCAGCAAATATACAGCAACTTGTCGAAAACTTCTGCTCAGCAAACTTCTTAAGTTACATGCTTTTACAAAACATGCTTGGCTATCAGGGTATGTGTTATATACCCAGATAGCCAAATGATAGCAGTATGTCAGCAGTATGCACGCAGGTTTAATCAGCACTTTGCAGCAGATTCCACTCAGCTGTGTCATTATAGTGAGTGAATTATGTAGGCACGATATGTAAAGAAAATAACACAGCAAAAATATAGAAATAAATGAAGAATGAAATGACAATAGCACGTTATGCTTCAAATCTGCTACATTTTTTGAGCAAGTTCTGCTTGATTGATGCAATAATATTTGCATCACGGCATGACATTTATATTCTCTTTTTTTTTGTGTTTTTCTGTCGACACTAGTTGAAATAACAGATTATGTTTGAATGCTGGCTACATTGTACTGGCATAATGTGTTATTGCAGACTTTGCAAAATATGCTCATTCAATCTTGGTTATCTGCCCAGATAGCACATGAATGTTCATAGGATATACAATGGACGTCCGAATTCGGACATAAGAACGTCCACTGGATATCCGAATAAAATCCAATGGGCGTCTACTGAATGTCTTATGGACATCTGTTTTTGACAACTGCAGACGTCCATTTATTTTCCGAAAAGGGACCTGAAAAGGATCCAAAACAGACCTGAAATATATATAATTTTTCATGTCTTATAACTTGTAATTATAGTGCTAAAATTAATTACCATTTAAAAATATATAAAGAATAGATAAATTAGTAATTATAATAATTAAATAATCTGAAATGCAGGATTACAGTTCATATAATATTTATTATATTATATATAAGTATCATAAAGAGTTCATATAATATTTATTATTACAGTAAGTATTATATAATATTTATTACATTAAGTTTATATATAATATTATATGAAGAGTATTACATTAAGTTCATATAATATTATGTAGGATATAAGGTGAGAGGATGCACAACACAAGGATATGTAAAGTATAAATGACACAAGTATATTTGTAGAATAGAATAAAAAGAACTATGAGTTACAGTGTATTACGCAGTCTCTTCTCGCGCGTCGCCTTTGTCGTCTCGCTGGCGACGCGACTCAACTCGAACTCTAACTCGAACTCGACTGCGACGCTCGTTATTCTCTTCTCGTGGTTCTGACTCCAGAACGCTCTGCTCTGTTTTCTAAGGGCTAATCGCCCGATCGGCTAAATAAACAAACAACGCGTGCGACATCGCAAGAGCTCGACCGTCGGCGAGAAGCGATAAAACTAAAACGCAGGGCGCCAGAAATATGAAGCAGAGATGCCAGTTTGCGGACGCTAGCAACATGCTGCAGCAAGTGGAGGGGACACGCACACAAGCAAGCAGCCACTCGCCGAGGCGCTGAGCGCACACGTACACGGCTGTTCGCCTGTGTGCGTTTCGTCTGTGTATCCCCTCTACTTGCTGAGCATGCTGCTAGCGTCCGCAAACTGGCATCTCTGATATGAAGCCCTCTACAGATATATATATGAATAACTTTTTTAACCAAAACTGAAGGTGACGACGCACAAATTTTCTACCCACAATTATGAACTTAATGTAATAAATATTTAATACATTAAGTATCATATAATATTTATTAATTAATATTTATTTAATATTTAATATTTATTTTTAATTAAGTATTATATAATATTTAGTAAATCAAACATACATGTATGAAATTAAATCATATGCAAAACAGAAGCTATTATTAACACCAAACTACTAAAGATATTACTACATAAAAAAATTAAGTCATCACAGATCTTCTANACCAAAATAATCTAATATGTTAATCTAATGTGACTCTATTTCTTCCTTACCAAAATTCTAAGTATTTAAATTTAGATTGCACTAGAATACAGGTAAAATGATCAACGCTTTACTCTCTCTCTTCCTCTTTCTCTCTCTCTCTCTCTCTCTCTCTCTCTCTCTCTCTCTCTCT